TATTAGTACTTAAGTATGTAAAAATTTATTACATTTCATGTTGTAAGAGGGTTTTACCCATTCCTCGAACCGTGTCAGAGTGAATCCGTGCTATAAAAGTACCGTGTTATACGGGGGATGGTACCAATTCTCGAACCGTGTTAGAATGAATCCGTGCTATAGAAGTGCCGTGTTATACGGGGGTTACCTGTATATAAAATTGCTTGTCCTGACTGACTGACTGAATGACTCACTGATTCATCATCGCCCAGAGCAAACCGCTGGACCTAAAGAGCAGAAATTTGGTACACAGTTAGGGTTCGTCATGAAAACGCACACTAAGAAGGGATTTTTCGAAATTCCGGAGTGGGGGGAGAGGGGGAGCATTAAGTCTTAACCGGAAGAACAGCTTCTACTGTACTATTTTAGATGCGATTTTTCGTTTTTATCTGCGTTTTAGTAGAGTACACCATGGCAATGCACACTAAGAAGGGATTTTTCTAAATTCCCCCGCGGGGGGAGAGAGAGGATTTAGTCTTAAACGGAAGAACGGCTTCTACTGTACTATTTTAGATGCGATTTTTCGTTTTTATCTGCGTTTAGTCTTCATTGAGTACTTAGGTGTATTAAATTGATAACATTTCAGACATTGTTATAAATATTTTTATTTATTTCGATTTTTAAAATGTTCGAACCGTTTTAAATTCGAATTTGTTATCGCGTATCGGTTAGATTATAGAACGATTGTAAACGCTCCAGAAAATTGATCAAATTGAAAATAGTTCGTTTGATGATTCTCGGCAATTCTCTTCAGCGGTAGGTGTTATATAGATCTAACAATTACTATAGTTATTGAAATATTGAATGTAAATGGGGTTTGCTTGCAAAACCTCCGCGGACGAAGTCGCGGGTAACAGCTAGTATAAAATATATACAGTACAGTAATACCCCGAACTTACGCGATAGGTGGGACCGAGCGATAACCGCGTAAGTCGAATTCGCGTAAGTCGGGGTATAATTTCGCAATTTGTGTAAAATCCGAGTCGGATGTATGCAAGCTAATAAATGTTCTCGTTAATCTTATCTCGCATTTTGTTTCGTTCACGGTTACGAGAAATCACCGCATAGAGTCTCTCGAGTCTCCCTAGATATAACAAACAGAAATAAATAACACAAAATAAATTGTAGCTACGCGTCGATTCCGCGCCACACGTCCGAACACGTAAGCCGAACAATAGTGCGGGGGGGGGAGTTAGTAATCGAGAGTCGCGTGGCGCTCAAACAAAAGACGAATCGACGAGATTTGAAAATCGCGTAGCTCCGGGTTCGCGTAAGTCAGAGTAGCGTAAGTCGAGGTATTACTGTATACACTTTTAAAGAAATAAATTAACTCAAGATATTCCTTGGCATTTCGGGACATCTTACAGACAAGAGTAACGTCGAACAATTTTGGATGGATACGTTGACACCTCTCGCGGGCCATCTACCTCCCGAGGGATTTTCTACGGCCAAAGGCCTTATTTAGCCGTTAGACACGCCAAGTAATCCCGTGAAATAGCCCATCAGCGGAGTCTATCGGTATCGTGATATTTCTATCTACGTATAAACATTGATATTTGTAATTTGTAATTGCGGTAATTTATAATCGAGATACGAATATTAAAATATTTAATAGGATATCGAATAGCTCAGACTGTAACAACGACAGATGCTTATTTAATATCGTGTTAAATAGTATAAGATTTTAAATTACGTCGAAAATGTTCAGGAATTGTGTCTTACGTTTGAAACGAACCGAAGCGCGTGGAACGATTAAGAATAGAAGAATGCCGGTAGGGCAAATACAGTACTTTGCCATAAACGAAGTGGTGTACGCAGTGCTCGGATCGAAGACGAAAGAGCATAGGGGAGATACGATTCACCATCGTGTTTAAGAATGGCGATTAGGGAGGACTTCATTCGTTGATCTTTAAAAAAGTAACGTTCGTAAATGGCCGGCGTCGGAAGAATTAGACGTGACTCGTGTAAATGACACTTCCGCCAGAGTGTTCGCTGCCACCCGGAAAAGCCGACAATGAATTATAAGCTCTGTGCCAGGGATGTCTGCGTATTCGTCCCATCTTTGATATAATTCGTTTCTTATAAAACAGAATCGGGCTTATGCCTGATAGGTTATAGTATTTAGTGCTTCGTACTTCGATCGCGATTACTTTGGATTACAATACATCAAAAGATTTCTCTTCACACAGGGATTACGTGAGTATAAAAATATCTCAATCAGACGGTTATTTCTGGAGTTCTAGACTGTTAAATCTTCGTATTTTGCCCTTCCCCATCGAGTTTCCCCAACGGTTTTGGATTGCGTAAAAACAGCATTTTTCAGCGTGTATCTTTATATATATTGTCTGGTAATTTGATTGTTGTACGTTACGCGGAACGCGAGTTACATTGGTCTTAAGGTTTTACCGTTAACGAAGGCTTTCCGAGTCCACGTGGTCGGTCAGTCATTCGGCGTAGTTCTAGCCGCTCGGAGTTTCACGAGTCACGCTCGCTCGTTTCGTTATTTCTGTATCAACTGTTACGACTGTATCGCGTTGACCTCGACCCTTTGCGGGCCGTGTTGTCGGTTATTTTCTCTGTTCGTACCGGTATCGCTCGGTACACCGTTATCGCCACTCGGCGCTTTTCCGCCTATCGACGTTGGTGTGGTGTTCGCGGACCCAGCGTTGTGACGAACTGTTCCTCAGCCAGCGCCTTCTGGACGTAGCGCTTACCGTTACCGAGTCTTCTTCGAGCGCCCATCGCCTACCTCCCAGTGTCGCTAGTGTCGCGCCGTTCGGCTCATTGGTAGTCTTCGGCTTGTAGTTATCTAAGTTAGGGGTCCCCAAGTGGTCGATATCGGCCTCTCGGGGTCGATAAGAGTTCTCCTGGGGTCGATTAATACACGAGGGTCGAAAGGGGGTCGATTAATACCAAAGAGAATCAATTAAACTGTCTAGGAAAAAAATAGAATATTCCAAAACAAATTCGAAATACGGATACGATCAACAACATTACTGACTACCCTAGTTATAACTCGAGTTTTGCCTTAGCCTACTCCGCTTTAAGCACGCGTTACTCCGTTTTCACTCATCTGGCAACTGTACTAGTGTCGCAAACGTGTTACGAACGCCGGTAGTTCATTATACGCAGACATACGTTGCATCGTTACACTCTAGTAGGGTTGTCACTCTAAGTATTTTATATCTAAATGTAGATATTTTGTCCTTTGCAGAGAAAATAAAGTAATATATCGAAAATCATTAATATAGTACAGAAGCGTTCGCGAGAAAAAATGGCCTTTCGAGTAAAATTGAAGCTATTTAAATCTTCACTGGCACGATCCGATTTTAAATATTTTTCAAACTCGCGAGTACTAAAAGAAAACGAAAAGGATTCCGAACGTGATTTGGAGATATATATTAAACATCTCGATAAATTAAGAAAAGACTTTAAAGCACGTTTCGAAGAATTGGAGAATACGCGTGTTTCCGAATGGTTCGCTAATCCATTCGATGTAAAAATAGATAACGAAGGTAGCGAACCTGGCTGAGAAGATGAACCGAGTGAAATATGCGTAGATCTCGAAGCTAAAGCGTTGTTTATACATAAAAACCTCGGTGAATTTTGAAGCAATAACAATATTGCCACTAAATACCCCGAGCTCGGAGCGGAAGCCGAACCTTTCTTAATCGCATACCCAACTTCGTACGTGGTTGAAGCTGGTTTAAGCCAGGCGAACGCAATTTTGAAAAAAACGGCGGAACAGATCGAACTCGGAAAACCGTAATGATTTGCGACTAAAAATTACCAATTTTCAACGGAATATTAATAATCCTGCCGCTACTCTTCGGACACATCCATCCCACTAATATCGACTATTTTAATATAAAGATATCTCTACATATNGCGGAGGAAGACGGCGATATTACATTTAGAATAAATTCTGGAATTTTCAAAAATGGTTGAAGAATTAATAAAATTTTGTATACTTTTAACGTAGTTATTAACTAAATTTTATTAAAATTTATTAGAAGACACTCCGACAGTTCCCTTGTTAGTGCGCGTTCCCGTGACGTACCCTACCTGTGTACCGAATTTCATTTCTTTAGGTTCGGCGGTTTGCTCTGGGCGATGATGAATCAGCGAGTCAGTCAGTCGGGACAAGTAATTTTACATATTTAGATTTAAGATGTTTGAGGCTTCCCGCAGTTTATACAGCATTTGAAAGTATTGCATTTGGGATCGATATCGTTTAGGGAATTAAATTAAATAACTTGGTAAACGCTTTAACGTGGTCGTTCGATTTAATCTAAGTTGGTGAGCTACTGCGCAATTTCAACGAGAAGTGAACCGGTAGAATGAAAAGGCGGGCAGCAAAATCTTTGTCATATCGAAGTCAAGTGAAAGGTCTGTTCGTTACGAAACCTTTTATTATTATTAGAGTCTGATTGATTACCTCTAAATTTTGTTTGTCGAGTCCTAAAAGCCAGCCTCTAATTGGAGAACGTATCGAACTAATTCCGCTTCCATATTTGAATCTTTGGATATTCGGGGACTGACCCGGATAGCCCTTGGAGATACTCGAGGATAACCTGGTTTCGAAAACAAGGAACGTGATTTTGATTAACGTACGACGTTCGAATAACTACGTAAAAGTTGTTGCGTGGGACAATGGATAAATACGGTTGGTTAATTTCGTTTATATTTAGAGAATAGACTAGAAGTCGTGAATTTCCTGTTCGTCGATAATGGAATTCGGGGTTGGAGGAAAAGGGCAACCCAGACAAAAAGATTAATCCGGCCATCGTGACCTATTGTAGGCAGTTAGTTATCAGTATTTGGTGGTATTTTAAGGTCGTATCGGTTACATCAACCTACCAATTAACAATTAAACTCAATGAAATTGATTATATACTGCGTAATGATACACTTTGATAAACGATAATAATACGTAGCGTATACGTAGATAGAGCAACTTATACGCGCACGTTTGTTGTCTATATATACGATTAAATTAAATCCAATGTGTCAAAATAGTTACGCTTGTATTTTGAATAACCGACTAAAAAACGGTTTCGCAAGGATCGTCATTAATTATTTATGCAATTTTTTTAAACTAAGCCATGCCAGTTTCGAGAAAATGCGACTGTTTCGGGTGCATTCTGTATCCGATTCAGTTTATGGCCACAATTTTCGGAGCTGGAATGAGAATCGTTTGTCCTTATCAGAAAAATTCATTTCGAAGATCGGCACGTAAAGGTTATCAAATCGGAATATTGATATTGCTTTGGTTAAACGCAATTTATTATTTCGGTCTGATTCTGTTTCCCGGATACTTGCCCTGCAGAAAATTAATACATTTATTCGGGAACGACGCGATGATCACAAATGTTTTTTTCTTGGATCTATACGTAAACGCGGCAATTAACTGCGCGATTAGCATATTCTACAAAGGGGGTCGGTTCTGTCCTTCCCTTCGGAAAGAAAACGACGAAGAAGTCTTCTTCGTCGTCCGGATGCAAAGGTTTTTGCTATTTTTGGGCACGTGCTGCTTCGTACCTTTGGCAATTGGCTTTACTCTGCTGGTCAGTATTTTCGGCTATTCCGCTTTGAAAGAATCCGGAGAATGGCCAGCCGCATTCTGCACGATATTATTTTCCGTTTCCTGTATTTATCTTCTGGGTTTTATTATTTTCGGCATTCCAATTGGATTAATTGCGTTTCTGTTGATTAAAAACAAATTCGATTTGCTGACGGAAGAAATTCACATTTCTAACATCGGCAAGGAGAGTCTACGACCATTTCTGTATTCCGTCTATCGAAGATACACCGGATATACAGAATTGATAGAGGAATTCAACGATTCGTGTAGAATCATGGTTTGCAACGTCTACGGCTTCGGAATCTCCACTTGCTGCATAGCCTTATACATATTAGTGTTTAAGGTGGAGGAGTTGGTCTTATTCGCTTTTTTCTTAATCGCTTTTGTCGTCGCTTTCCTATTTACGATAATTACGGCGTTAATCGCCGCGGAACTGTGGCTGTCGGTAAGTAGGACTTTTACGAGAATATCCCGTTATTTGTTTCGTCGGCCATCCGAATAATAATAATAAAATATATTCCGAAATTCCGCAGTCGAGAAGACCCATGAAAGAACTGCACAAGTATTTCTCTACAACGTGGGACGCGATAGACAATCTGTTGGTAATTACGCAATTTTTAATATTACTCGATAGCTATTACTGATGAAAACGAGTACATTTGAAGAGTACGCGAGCAAACGTTTTCCGATGTATCACCTATACTTGTGTTAAATATTTTCTACTTTTGCCATATCGCCGTGTTTCGTTAATACGCGTAAGCGCCAAATTTCGTGTTATAATAAGAATTAATAATTACGGTAGTAAATTTCCGTAAGAACAAAATTTAATTAGTATTGCATTTGACGAGGAACGTCAACATTTTAGGTGCGAGACTCGCGAGGCGAAACGTTCCTGCGGGTTAGTCTATGGCAAATCGATCTCTTATTTTGCTTCTAGACGGGTGAAATAAACGAAAAATTTGTCGCGTCTAGTTCATTGGTCGATGTAAATCTGCATTAAATACCGGTGTTCGGTGCTCTATCGCTGGCGTGTCGGTAATATTTGGAAGACGTAAAAAGATTGGATGGACGCGATCGTCCTCGAGTCAGATTTGTCGTAATGTATTGTAAATGGAAAATTCGTAATTTGATCTTCGTTTAGAAAGACGGACGGCTTATCTAAGGCGCGGAAGGGAATTTTCCTGACGATTTGTATCGATTAAATGAGAGGTTTTCCCCGACACTCATACGCCTGATAATAGTTGGAGAAAGGAAATCAAATTTCTGTCGAATTATATATAAAAACATTCATATTTATATCTAATAGTAATTTCGATATAAAAACTCAAATGTTTATTGTTTAGATGACCAACGTTCAAAAGAGATACACGGGTCCGGCGATCGGAGTGGCGCTTTTGGATTTCGTCGTCAAGAGGAACATCGCCATTAAAGTGAGCGAACACTTTCCTTCTTCGTTCTATTACCAAAAACATAAATTAGATGCGCGGCGAACTTCCTACAAATGATAGTTTCCAACGGATTTATATTAAGTTTGGTGACTCCTGCTCTAAGCTATAAGAAATTATTCGGATGTTCCGAATGAATTACAGTATACTGTACTGTATATAAATTTCGTATCCGTTATAACGAGATGCGAGTGTGAGTCCCAAGTTTTATAAGGTTAAAGATAAGTTTAGTCAATAAACATAAAGTAGATTTCTTCTATTTTGAAAAATATGGTGTAGAAATGAAAATTTTATATTTCTTACATTTTATAAATCACTGTATTTTAATTTTAAGACTAGCTCAAATTAGTTGTCTATAGCAAGGGTGGGCAACCTTTTTTATAACATGGGCCAGAATAAATTTTAAGTTTTTTCCGCGGACCATAGTAGTTAATTGACACCTTGTGACATGTAAATTTTTAGCCTGCAAATATGAAATAAATAAATAAATA